AGCGGCTCAGCAGCCCGCCCAGAGCCGGGGAGGATGGGCTGGGGGGGTCGCCCCGCTTACCTCCCGCGAAGGCGAGCAGAAGGAATCCGAGCACGCCGGCCGGCAGAGGCGAGTCCGGGGCAGCCATGGGGGCCACGTTCCCTGGTGCTGCTCCTTCTCCGGGGTGAAGACTCAGCCCCCTCCCAATGCACCCAAGCGCCGAGCTGGGAGCCCGGCTACACCCTCCCGGTGCGGAGGCGGCTGCCTACGACCATCGCTGGCTGGAGCTGCTGGCAGGAGCTCGCGCCATCTTGCACATCTATCAGGGATCTGTCAGCATCTCCCTGCAAGCGCGCAGGCATTAGCCCTCGCTACCCCCCGCCACACTCGCCGCCCTCTCTCCTGGAGGCCCCTTCTGGGGGGACAAAAGATCCAAGCGGCGCTTTATGCGGCTGGACATGGCCCGGCGAAGCAAGCGGATCCCCCCTTCCTTGCCCCAGCCGGCTTTGAACTGGAGCCGGGCTGCTGCCGGGGCAGATCAAAAGCCTCCTGCGTTTTCTTTTGTGCCCCGGCAGGGAGCGGCTTTCCCTCGCCCCAAAGCAAAGGCAGGGAGGGAAAGTGATGCTCGTGTTCGCACTGGAGTTTTAAACAATAATTAAAGCAAAGCCTCCCCCTTCCCGTTTATTTCCCTGTGCCAACGCGCACGCACACACACACCCGCACACACACACACACACACACACACGTTTTCATATGGCCCAACTTGCAAAGCCTCCCCCTTCCCGTTTATTTCCCTGTGCCAACGCGCACGCACACACACACCCGCACACACACACACACACACACACACGTTTTCATATGGCCCAACTTGCAAAGCCTCCCCCTTCCCGTTTATTTCCCTGTGCCAACGCGCACGCACACACACACCCGCACACACACACACACACACACACACGTTTTCATATGGCCCAACTTGCAAAGCCTCCCCCTTCCCGTTTATTTCCCTGTGCCAACGCGCACGCACACACACACCCGCACACACACACACACACACACACACGTTTTCATATGGCCCAACTTGCAAAGCCTCCCCCCTCCCCGTTTATTTCCCTGTGCCAACGCATCCCAGGCTGCAGCTCGGATCGCACACGCGGCTCCACAAAAGAGACTTTGCATTGTGTGTCCGTTGAATTCCTCCGGATTTATGCTGGGGTGTGTGACGGAGCAGGCGGGATGCAACGAGCCAGGGGGAAAAAATCTCCCGTTTCATATGGTAAAACTTATCTACCGGGGGGGAGCAGAGGAAGGGAGTTGAAGAGTTAGGAGGCTGCAGGGGAAAGGATTCAAATATTCCCTCCTCCAGACCCTGGGAAAAAAGTCACCCAAGACCTATTCGGCGGCGTGTATTTGTGTTGTGCCTTGACTGGAGTCAATGCAGGTACATAACACGGATGAGTTTAGTCCTCTGGAAATTAATGAAAACAAACGTCTGCCATGTGACCCATGTTAACTTCGAGCTCTGCTCTCGAAATCAGGCAATTCCGAGAGAGCGGAATTACAGGAGGAAGTGTGTTATGCATTTACCTGCTGCATCTATGAGAAAGAGCTTCACTATGCAAGAAGCTGAAGCCTGATTTCTATGCTCGCTAAAACACAAAGCCATAGAGGGAGTTCTTCTCTAACTCCCAGGTGCCCCCACCCGCGACACTGTTTTACAGGATATAAACAACGTATCTGGCTATAATGGACTGATTTATTGCCCTGAAAGAAAAGTGACAATTGCTTTACATGCTAATTCTAGAGGATCAAATTAAGAGCAAACAAATGATTTTACACTCAAGAAAGGAGCGATTTGTCTTTCAGAGTTAAACATACCTTCTCAGGGGAAAGTTATTCTCCTTAATGACCCTCTATGGTCAGGTTCTGAAGGAAATGGCTTTTTTTCTATTGGCTTGGTGTCTTGGTTGGGATGTTTTTTAAATAGGGCTAAGAGTAGCCCTGTAGTACATCTACACTGTACACTTATTTCGAAATAAGCTATTCGGGAAGATGTACTCTGAAATGTGCTATTTTGAAATAAGCTGTCTACACTGCAGGGAAGCCTCAAAATTAGTCCATGGGGGGCTTCCCTAATGTGGACATCCTACCTCGATTTAGAGCCCCAGGAAGCACTGGGCAGTAATTCATTTGAATGGCCCCTGGGAGGAGCTATTTCGAAATAGCAGCAGTAGAGCATCCACGCTACAGCTATTTAAAAATAGCTATTTCTGAATAGGCACTATTCCTCTTGGAATGAGGTTTACAGAAGTCAGAATAAGCCATCAGTTATTTCGAAATAACAGTATTGCTGTGTGGACGCCCACATTGTTATTTTGAAATAAAGTCAGTTATTTTGAAATAATTGTGCTGTGTAGATGCACTCCGAGGCTACGTCTACACTGCCGGTTTTGCAGGCAGTGAGTATGCAAAGGAGGCGTGGATTAGCATATTGTTTGCCTCATTTGCATAATTTATTCACTTTTTTGTGCAAGATCCTTATGCCTCTCCGGGACAAGCATAAGGATCTTGCACAAAACAGGGTCTTTAAGCAAAAAAAAAACCCTGTCCACACTCCTTTTTCCCGCAAAAACCCTTGGCGCAAAAATGGTGTGCATAAATTATGTAAACGAGGCACAGTGATATGCTAATCCATGCCTCATTTGCATACTCACTGCCAGCAAAACCAGCAGTGTAGACGAAGCCCTAGACTAACAAGATCTAGATATATAGTATCATGAGAAAAATTCCACTCTGCTCATTTGAGAAAGTGGGATTTGCCTAAGAAAGCTCATCATACTATCGTTAGTCTACACAGCACTTTTACCTCAAAATAAGCTACGTAATTTGCACTATGCAAATTGAGTAGCTTATTTAGAGGTAATTTCAAAATACCTTATTTCGAAATTTGGCACTGTCTACACAGCACCAAATTTTGAACTAAGGCACTATTCCAAAACATCCCTTGTGCAATAAGGTTTATAGGAACATTGGAACAGCAAACCCGTTATATTTCAGTATAACAGGCTTGCTCTTAAGATGCAGAATAGCTATTTTCAGATACCAGACGTATCCTGAAATAGCTCCACAGTGTAGACATAGCCTAAGGTGCTACAGGACTACTTGGCTATCCCTCTAGGACTTTTGAATATTGAAATGCCTTGAATGTTGTTCCCTTGAATTTAATTCACTGTGCCCAACAATCAGAAAGTTCACAAAGAACATGGGTCAGATGAGAAAAGAAGTAACTTTGGTCCCTTTTTTGGTAAGATGTACAAAGGGAAATTCAAAAAGTACCAGTGAAACACTTCGGGCTCGTCTACACTGGCCCCTTTTCACGTTGTCCTGCCTGGAATACACGTAAGTGCGGGAGGCTGTCAGATGACCAGTTGAGGTGCCTTCGCGTGCATCTACATTGCACCGTAGCTCAAACTAAGATACGCAACTTGTGCATCTTATTGCGATGCTATTTCAAAACAGCATATTTCGTCGACAGCCCCAAATTTCAAAATAAAGCGCGATTCCGAAACATCCTTTACTCCTTGTGGAAAGAGGTGTACAGGGATGTCAGGGTAGCAAGCCCAAAGTAACAGGCTTGCTGTGAAGACGTGGGATAGCTATTTCGGGATACTCACTAGGGCAGCGGTCACCAACTAGTTGATCGGGATCTACTGGTAGATCTTGGCACCTCTGACAGGTGTTGACTAGTTTGACCAAGAGGCTCTAGAACGTCAGATGTCTCTCCCCACTTCTGCAGTGCATTTCCTGCCCTTTGCCTTGGAGCTGTTTCCCTCTCCCACTCTGTAGTCTATCTCCACAGAACAGGGGTGGAGGGGCACAACAGGACTTGGTATGTAGGGAGTTTTCTGACTGCTTTGACAGGGGTGCAAGGCCAGAGCAGGGGTGAGCCTGCTTTTGCCCCACTGCACCACCACCCAGGTGGTGGTACCTGTGGTAAGCAGTGTCCAGCTGTAGCCTGCATCCCTGTCCCAGCCTCTGCCTGCACCCCAAGCCTCTGCCCCAACCCTGAGCCCCTCTACACACAAAGGCTGTGACTACACTGGCAAGATTTTGCGCACAAGCGAATGCTTTTGTGCAAAATCTTGCCGCCTGTCTAGACTGGCAGTGAGTATTTGCGCAAGAACACTGACTTTGTACTGTACAAAATCAGTGGTTGCGCAAATATGCCGACGCTCCCACTCAGGGATAAGCCCTCTTGCGCAAGTACTAGTGGTTGTTAAAGAACAGCCTTAGCCAGTTCATTACAGATGGAAACAAAGGGGCTATGTCTACACTGGCGCGATCTTGCGCCAGAAGTATGCAAATGAGGCTAAGCGTGGAATAACGGCCTTGCGCGAGAGGGTTTTTCTTGCGCAAGAAGGGGCAGTGTAGATGCTCCTTCTGACGCAAGAGCCTCTTCCGCAAAAATGGCAGCTCATTGGATATGCAAATGAGGCTCGGCGATATTCCACGCTTAGCCTCATTTGCATACTTCTGACGCAAGATCGCGCCAGTGTAGACATAGCCAGGGTGTCCGGTGCCACTGTGCCTTGCTGTGCAAACAGTGGGAGATTTTGCATGGCCATTAGCTGTCTGAGCTGAGGAGGAGCTATATCGCCTCAGTTAATTGCAAGCAACTGCCCCGGTGAGCCTGCCGTTTTGCTGTCAGCGGAAATGAGCATGTGGCACCTGCATTAATGACTCCTTAGAGAAAAGAGAGGCACACGACTGAACATCCCATGCCAATGAGATGAGCCAGGAAAATCCAACAAAGTATCCTTCTGGCATAGACACTCTAGCTCCCCTGCCTCCTAGGAATGTGAAAGGTTAACCGCTGAGGGATGGAGCAGTCTCCACCTGCCACGGGCAGGGGGCTGCTCTAGCCCCACAGAGCCCGCCACAGACGGGCTGGACCAGCCCAGCCGGAACAGCTCCTGTCCACAGCTGGGGGTGCTGCAGGCAGGGGCTGCTGTGGTCAAACTGAAGCAACCACTGTCTGTGGTGGGCCATGGGGGGGCTGCAAGCAGAGGCTTAACTACGTTTAACCTGTTCACCAATTAAATGGGATTTTACATCCCTTCTTTCCTTTGCCCCTTTGCATTAGCGTCTCACTTAAGAGATGATGCGCTAATGCCGATGATCATCAGCTGTAGCACGACACACCAAGAATGCCTGTAGACTAACTTACCTGATCTGACTGAGATCTGAAGAGCTTGGCTGGGTGGGATTTGTAGTTCTTTTTTTTCCCTGCTCTAACTAAACCCTGACAGCAGATCAGAATGCAGCTCAAGGAGCCCATGGTCAGCATTGGGTACCTGGCCGGAGTTCAACATCTGTTGAAGTCAATGGAACTAGTAGCAGGGTAAAATTTTCAAAAGTGCCTAATGCCCAGGTTGTCAGAGGCATTTAGGTGCCTAATGCTCATGTATTTCCCTTGGAGGAGTTGAGATTAAGTGATTTAGGAACCTAAGTCCCGTTTTCAGAAAGCGACTTGGGCATTTAGGAGACTAAATCCCTAGGATTTGCAATGAGATTTAGGCTCCTAAATCACTTGGTGCTTTAGAAAAGTTTGCCC